GCATCCAGTATTGTTGAATTTATTGGAAGTTTTTGCTACGGCACTTTGCCAAGATACAAATGATTTAACCTTCATGCTCTCTTTGATCTTTGGAAAATAGAAGCAAGAGGGTCTTAGCAGATTTACATTCTTGTAGACTTGGTATTGGACCCAATGCACGCAAGGATGTGAGTGTCTTTCCTCAAGAGCAACTCAATCTGTTATATAAGGCTTTGTACATCAAAGCCACAAAAAGCTTGGCTTGCTGTCATTTGTTTGCTGCAGGAGTGGTGTGTCCCAATGACCAGTATTCAAGGTCCAGGCTGTGAGAAGAGGTTTTGGGAGTGGCTAGCCGTAGTCAAGGCAGACCGGCCTCACATTGGCTAGTGTGTTTAGGAAGCTCAAATGAGCGTGTTGGGCCAGCTGAAGGGAACCATTCAAATGGGTGACTCTTGCCGTTGAGCATCAGCTGCAGACGAATGCTAACCATCCTTCTGAAATTTGTGTTTTGCCACTGACAGACGTTGCTAGACATGAGTCACCACGCAATTTGCCAGACCTTGAAGATGGTGCTGCAAAGATGCCATCAAGACTGGAGGATGTGCAAATGTAGAGTGTGTGTATGTCAGTGAGTCCCAAAAGCGCCAGAATTGATAAGCAAAGTTTTTGGCGTTGCTGCCTGCAAAGAGGATGACTACAGCCTCTCACAGAGTCAACATTTGGGATGGAACTGCCAAGTGTTGTGCAAACGCGATCACCTCAATTAATAATCCTGGCCCTGATCTGGGCAGCACCTTTTGCAGGGGTCGGAAAGGAGCACTAGTTGGCCCCGAGAGGAAGCAGCAAAGCCCAAGAAGAGCGAAAAGGTCACCAAAGCAAAAGCTCCTCCCACATGCCCGCTCAGCTACGAGACCAAAGATGCGAGGATGGAGACCGAGAACATGCCCCAGGCCAGCATCGAATCATCAGCTATCTGGAGTTGCACTTGCGTTAGCAAAAGTGGAGAAGGGAGAAAAAGTGGGATGCGGAGAAGATCAAGATCGTAATCGTGGATGTTACTGTAAATGATGATAAATGACCTTGTGCAACAAATTACCCAGCAACTTCCCGCAACGTGGTGGATTGGTCTCCAGCTAAATCTCCAACCCAGATTTTTCAAAGCACCAGAAGACATACATTCAGAATAATTCATTTAAGGTGATGTAGTGATGTAGTACACCTGGCGGTGACATGAAAGGACCAAGAAGAGATCATCGATGCTGCCATTGCAAACTGTGAACAATGCCACGGGCTGCATCCCGGCTGCATCTTGACGAGGTGTGGTTGTGACTTCCAATCTTTTTTCGTGCTTCTCGCCATGTGCCCTGTTTGGAGAGCCAAGGCCTGTAGGACGGGCCACAATTGACCAAGTGGCAAGCTCGCCAGCGAAGGTCAGTGTTTGCGTAGGGCCATCTATTGAAGAAGCTCAGCAGCACTTTCGAGAAACATCTTTGTCCAGCCTGATGAAATTGCAAAGCAATGAAGAACTCAATGTTTCACCTCGTGCGCTCTTCATTTGGCGCGCCCTTCTAGTTTAGTTCTTGGTTTTGGACACTCGAAAGGCGACCACCTATATGCCATTTGCAGGTCAAATGCTGACAGTAGAGTCGTAACGCGTTAGCCTTTGCCGATCGTTCGTGCGATGGATTTTGTGTGCCATTAGGATTGTCACGTGCAGTGATGCGAGCAGGTGGAAGCCAAAGTGTTGCCCGAATTTGTTAAGATCAACTCTGGACCTTCATGGAGCAGAAATCCTTCATCAAACGAACATGCGATAATTAATGTTGCCCGTATGGGGCAGGCCGACTTCATCAGGGTAATGTAGCCACGTGTGGTGAACCAGTGTAGAGCAGAGAACGCCAGAAATTTGTCTTGAAAGCAGATCGTTCATTTGCTCTGCAATACGCCCACGTCCCATTAGGAAGGTAGCATGCACATGATGGGGGCCATTGATTTATTTTCTTCGATGAGACTGGATGCGGTGATCACAGTGATGCCCAGGACAGCAAAAAGGGGCAAAGTCCCAGTCCTAGCCATTCAGAGAGCCATCTCACGAAAGCCAGAGACTGAGGGGTGAAGTTGAGCTGCTTGAGAGACTATGAATAGGTGTTGTCCATCTCGTGACACGCGCTGCTTAGATGGTTTAATCCAGGACAGTTCTTGTGCTCACCGATTTGGAGATTTCATTGAGCTACTGTGCATGAAAATAATTACATGTGTGTGTGTATATATATATATATTATAGATATAGTAAGAACGGTTGAAGTAGGTGTGAGTACCTGCTGCATTCTCTGAGGCTCATTTCAACAAAAACGACATGGCAGATTGGTTCATCAAGGCACTGGTCTTGCACACATAGCAAGCAGCTCCCGGCACTGCAACTCGAGCAACTGATTCCATCATGATAAATATCCCTTAAACGGGCAAGATAAGAAGTAAAGACAGGTCAGAAAAGGGTTGTGTATACAGGTGAGACTACGATAGATCTAAAGAGTTCGAGGCAAATTGTGCCAAATGTAACCCGCAGTGTAGCATACAGGTCTTTTGCGAGGAAGTTCCCATTTGAATTGCCAACATGAGCTCAGAGAGTCATGTCGCAGCTCAGAGAGTTTTTCAGAGAAAGCCACCCGTATTGAGAGTTTCACCAGTGACAAGCAAAAGAACGCGAAACAACCCAAAACTCATTATATACATTCTCATACCAAAAATGCTTTGAACACGCTGCTTAGACGGAATGATGCTGCAACAAGATGTCCTACCGAGCTCTCACACCAAAGTGTTTGTTGTGTTTTGTTTTTTGGCCAGCTTTTGCTTGTTGACACGTCGAACCATGACTTTGTTTTTTATGCGAACGCGGTATTTCAAATACTGAACTAAATTGCATTTTGCAGTGGAGTTCTTTTTGGAAGGGAAACCGGAAGACCCTGAACGGAGGAGGCCTTTTGATGTCATAACATCTTGAGGGTATTAAAATAGGAAGGCCGCTTGCCAGAGGAAGTGCAACAAGATGTTTGGAGAGTGGTTTGAGTCGTCTGGCGGCCCTACTCGGCAGGACACCTCTTTGCCGCAAGCAGACATTGACTCTTCCGTAGCTGGGCACTGCCAATATTTTCTTGGAGTGCTTTTGTAAGGTGATTGGGGGTCGGCGTGTTGTGGTTTTCGGTTGGTTTTTCTTTGTAACAGTGCGAGTGCTGTTTGCAGCCACCAAAGGCTTTGACCTGTCACAGAATGCCGCCAGGCGGGCGTAAGCTGCAAGACCAGTAACTAGACCCCTGGGCAAGTAACAATGGTCAACCTTTGGCATCCGGGCTTGAACAGTCCACTCAAGAGAGCAAGCGTCTCTTCCTTCCATCAACAATCTCCAAGAATCGTATGCGGTAGTACTGTTGCATAGAACAAGAGTGTAGTGGTGACATTTGGGGTTCTTCTCTGCCCACTTGTGCATGTGTCATGAAGTGCCAGGCCTGATCGAACCTAGCCAAGCTAGCCACACTTTGGAGACTGTCCCTGTCACCAACATGGAGGAGCAGACAATCTGAATCCAAGCGCTCGAAACAATCATGTCTTTTGAGTAGCACAACTCCTCGCCAAGTTATTGAATCTATTGGTTTCATTTTGGTTAATCAAGTGGAATAAGTATGTATCTCACACCTCAAGATTCCTTTGGCGAAGACTCTTGCAGAGCGCTAGGAGAAGAGACCTGACGATGGTCAGTGCACGGTGGTTAGTGCAGCTTGGACTTGAAGGGTCAATACAGGGACCAGGATGATGTTCCTGGTGTGGTCATGCCTTTTAACCGATCCCGAAGTGCGTTTCGTGGAAGTGAGCAGCAGGTGGATGGATATGACAGGTTTTGGATCTCAGTCTATGGATCCGACTATATATGTGAACTTTCTCCATTAGCGTCAGACCGGTATACTGTATACAGTATATATATATGTATAGCTGTTAGTGGGACCAGACTATTCCACTGAAGCTGGAGCTTTGTGAGTTATGCGTGCTGTGAAATGCTAGATGCGAGGCAGGCGTTGAGGCAGCTTTAACAACTACGAAAAAGAAAAAGAGGGGAGCGAAGGCAAAGAAAGGGGTCAAGGTGAAGCTCCAGGACACCTATCTAAGTATCATGCTTTGAAGCTGCTGGATCATCCAGCTGAGCACGTACACACACAAGCGGTTTGTCTTGTATTGTCAAGCTTGAAGGCCCTTGAGGAAAGCAAGAAACCACACCAATCATTGCTTTCTTGCCTCAATGTCATTCATTTTCTGCAGGAGTGTGCCCCGATGACCCCTATTGCAGGTCCAGGCTGTGATGGCTTTTGACTAAGGGTAGAAAGGTCGGTTTGACAGAGTTCAAGAACAGGATCAGAAAGGACCGGCTAACCATCATCATGGCAGACCAACCCCTATTGTCTAAGGCACCCAAAAACTTCAGTGGTAGTAGTTCTTTGTGCTTTGGACCTGCCGAAGACTGATTGCTCTACAAATCATCATGAAGCCCTTGCATGGTTGATGTTGCATGGAGTCATGAAACATGAGGTCGAATTTTTGTATGATTCGCTTGCTGACCATTCTACTGTAACAAGAGTTTCATCACACTGATGGATGTGGCAAACTAACTATCAACGCAGAATTGGCCAGATCTTGAAGATGGAGGGCTGAAGACGGCAACAAGACTGGAGGATGTGCTATGTTTGGCGACTATTTGTGTCCAGATCTTCTGTCATTCCATGGCCCTCTGTGGTTCATGACAGGGTGTTCTTTCTCCTTTGTCTTCCGTATAATTTTGGATGTCCCCTTCCAGAATGTGCGGAACCTATAAACACCTTTTCTGTCATAGGCCAGGTGGAGGACGCATACTATTTGTGACTGGGTAGAACCACCAAAAAAGAAACCACTTTGTTTTGGAGCACCGGAATTGATATCCACAGAATTGGACATTGCTGAACATCATTACCACTGTTGAGCAACACGGCCGGTTGCAGGAGTTGCAGTCGGACGGCAACGAAAGAGAGGAAGAATCAAAGCCTACGAAGAAGGTCGAAGAGGTGTTCACAGTGAAAGCTCCTCCGACACATCCCTTCTATGAGACCAAAAGTGCTGCGGAGAACGTGCTTGAGGGGCCGAAGACTGAGAACGTGCTTGAGGCAGGGCGATTGTCGAGACTCTCAAGCGACAGGAGTCAGTAATCTTTCCTGCTTTGCTTTCAATGTTGGAGGCCAGGGACAGCTTCCCAACGCAAGCACCAGCTTCTAGTGTGGAAAGTGCAGAATCAGAGGCGTCTCAGGCATCTCCAGCTCCTCGTCCTCTAAACGAGACAACCTTTATCGACGGGAGTGACGAAGAGGATTCCTTTCGAAGCGATGCGGAGAGTGACTATGCAGACATCGACGCAGACGAAGCTGACGAAGCTGCAGTCACGTCAGAATATGCCAGGCTTCAAGAAGTGGAAGCTGAAATGAGCCTTGAAGAGCCTCAGTAGGTTTTCAACTTGTCTCAGCTCAAACATATTTTGTATGGCCTGGGGCCTGGGGGCCTCATTGAATAACTCCCCAAGGACACAGGAGAAGAGAAGAGAGAGGGAGATGTGCAGTTCTTCGCTCACCATTAGCGCTGGAGAGATTATATAATTACAAGTGTCTTGCTACTCTGGCAATAGGCCCTAGGCATCAAATTGTTTGAGGCAACCCCAGTGGTAGCAGGGGTGACTACTGACCCCATCTCAAGGCGCGCGCGCTCTTAACCAAACGGATGAAATCGACAACTTCTAAGGAAGAAGCAGTCTGACATTCAGAGTGTCAGTGATCTGAAGGGCCGTTTGGTAGCGGGAACCTTCCGCGTTCTGTCCGGCTCAGATTTCAAAGGGCGAAGATCGAAGGCGCAGATCGTCATTGACCAAGGTCTGGTGGGTCTGGTACACCAACATCATGATGAGCCGTGAAACCTTAGAACATAAATTGGACTTTGTATGAGCGCAACAAAGAGAAACAAAGTCGATTGGGGTCCCCTGCAGGTCCAACGAAAATGCTCGGTTGCCGAGTGCACATCATCGGGTCCATGAACCGGAAGCGTGCCTGGGATCACGATCGCTGCTGGGTGAGGATCTTGGCTGCCAGAGTGGCAACTGAAGATCCGCCGAAGAGACGTCAGCAGAACCAGGACACTGTGCTTCGGAACACTGACTCCGCCGAACCTCAAACCGGACCGCTTTTTTGACGTTTTCGTGGCCCAAAGTACACCTTTTCGGACCTTGGTCAGGATATGAACAGACCGTGGGAAGCAGCAACTGCTCAAGTCACAACACTCTTTGGCCATGTTGTGCTTTCCAAAGAGCAGTTCAGCCCGCGCCAAACAAGGGTGGTCTGTGCACGATCACGGATCGTTCGCAGTACCAAGAGTTTGCTCTTCCGGCCGATTAATGGCAAGTTTCCTATGATACATGTGCCGTGGAATCCACAGCGAGAGCTGCCAGATCTTGACGATCTCCATGTCATCGGATTGAGATCTTGGGCTGAAGCTTCCACGGCACCGACTGGAATGTATGAGGAGGTGCTCAACATGAAGGCTCGTGATACTGACGAGCCGCTGAGGTTGCATTCAGACACAGCGTTACAAGTCGATATCTGCAAATCTTACTCATGTTTCTAGTCCTCATGCACGAGGTCAGTCCTATATTCAATCAAGAGATCCTTGAACTACTCAGACTGGGAGGATCATTCCGCCATTAGCTCGATCCCAGTCAACCCCTTCAAGGAGAATCTTCAAGACTTGGCACCAGCAGTTGCAAATTTGCATCAGAATCAACGCATTGCATGGTTCGCAGAGCACAGGTTTGTAATGAAACCAAGTGACATTCAGGAGATCTCTGAGACATGCAAAGGACGACGAAAGGCCAGTCAACCAACCAGTGCTCTATTTGTAAGTGATGCTTTTCGCGCTGAAACTATAGCAGACATGTTGTTTGTGAGTTTTTTTTGATTTTGCGAGGACCTGCGGGAGGAGTTTACTGTTTGCATTGAGCATCCCGCCTGGCCCGGAAACATGGCCATTTCCGTTGGCCAAGATCAAGTTAAGGTGCAGCTGTTTCCATGACACCAGGATTGACCCCATATGATGTTTGTGGGGCTGTCAGGTCCATGTCATTGATGTCACAGAGTACTTGTCTGAAGAGACACCTGGAGGCACATTGAGCTTTAATTGGTCGGTATTATATAATCATAATTATTACTATTACTATTACGATCACGATTACGATTCCTACCATATGCTACCATTTTTACTTATAGTTGTGTAGAGCTTGGGCAGGCTGGGGTGCACAAACATCATCATAACTCCCATGTCATGTTTTGGTTACTTTTCATTTCCTGGCAATCTTGCAAGTAAAGCCGGGTCCGCAAACCCTATGTGATAAAGGGTTTCGCAGATTCAACTCCAATGACACATATTGACCGATTCCTGACAAGCCTATATGCATGGAGATTGTGCATTTGTTTCTTAATCGTATTGTGTTCTTTCTCAATTCAGGGACTCTTGGGGCCTTTGGTATGAGTAGAACATGTTCCAGTGCGCACCACGCTTGTTCATCCTGAGAAAGGGAATTACTTTCTACCGGACAGGAACAAGGCAGCTAGATTCGACAAGCTGTTTGAATTGACCTTTGCTGCAGGGCATCGCACACCACACCACCAGGAATCCGCTGACTTGAGTTTTCTTTTTCCCCAGGCAGTTTACTGTTGGGGTTCTATCATAGAAAAAAAGAGCTGGCCACACTCACTGGCTGCGCCCCTGAACTCTGTGGCTGGGCTCTGTGTCCATGTCCTCGTCTTGGCCGCACGCCTGAACCGGGCCTTGTCCTCCTCTTGTGCTCTGTGGCTGGGCTCTGTCTCTTGTTCTCCTCGTGAATCTGAACTCTGGGCTGTGGCCCGGCTCTGTGTCCAGGCCTTGTCCTCCTCTTCTCCTTCTCTTGGCCACGGCCCTGAACTCTGTGGCTGGGCTCTGTGTCGAGGCCTGGTCCTCCTATTGCCCTCCTCTTGGCCACCCTGAACTCTGTGGCTGGGCTCTGCAAGTGGCTTTTGTGGCCCAGCTCTGTGTCCAGCCCTCCTCCTCCTCCTCCTCCTCTTGTCCTCCTCTTGGCCACGGCCCTGAACTCTGGAGCTGGGCTCTATGTCCAGGCCTTGTCCTCTTTTTGTCCTCCTCTTGGCCGCGGTCCTCCTCTTGTCCTCCTCTTGGCCGCGCCCCTGTGGCCCAGGTCTGTGTCCAGCCCTCCTCCTCCTCTTGTCCTCCTCTTCGCCGCGACCTGTGGATGGGCTCTGTGTTTAGGCCTTGTTTTTCTTTTGGTCGCGCCCCTCAACTCTGTGGCCCGGCTTTGTGTCCAGGCCTTGTCCTCCTCTTGTTTTTTTGGGGGGCTCTGTGGCTGTTGGCCGCGCACACTCACTGGCCGCGCCCCTGAACTCTGTGGATGGAACTGAGTGCACTGGCTCTTTAAGCTACTATATTGCTGCAGTAACACTTCACTGCAACACAGGCAGCCAGTGTTCAACGAGAGCCCAATCGTGCACTACAAGGGGGAACAGACATGAACAACATGGCTTGGCCGCCACACACAGCTTCCACTTGCGCAGAATCCACCAGCTTGAGCAATGAATTACTCAGGCCCAGGTTCAGAACCCTGCTCAGCAAACACACACTTTAGCGCCGACCAGCACCTTGCAAGTTCACACACGCGCAGACATGCTGCGAGCTAGTCACGATCAAAGCAGCGGGATAGTGCTCCCCCCGACATTTACCAACCAAGGATGTCTGGTCGAGATCTCGAGCAGCAGGCACGGACTCGGAGCTGCGGTGTGTGGCTCTTGGATTGCCAGGAGAGGCTTTGAAGCCAACGAGTCAAAAAGAATTACTCTACGTTGAGAGTGCATGGCGTTGAATTCATGACGTTTTGGGCCCACTTGAGCCATGTACTTTGACGAAGGACCTTTTTTTGGTGTTTTTTTCCTTGGCCCGGAGGGGGTCAAATTCAGGAAATCACCCTCGGATTAATAGATGGCACGCGTTTTGTTAGCACACATGAAGACGTTCATTTCCTTCTGACATATGTTTTGTTTCTGCTTCTTATTCTCGCATATACTGCAGATGTATTTTTTGCTTCTCGCTCCTCGCTGAGCTGCTCACAGACAAAGGTGCATGTGAAACATATATTAACATATACATGTATACCGAAGATTGACGGATGTTTTGGCCGAGCTACACGACAGTGGTGAGCTGTTTATAACCTTGAATTAAGCTCATACAAACAAATACTGTAGTACTATAATTGCTTGGTAGATGGCGCAGGCCTAGACTCGTAACTTTTTGATATATGCGCAATGGCTCCCTTTCTACCTTCTGACCTCCCTTTCTCCCTGCTCAAGAAAAGGACTGCGTGTTCTTTCCTTCCACAAGTCCTTCCTTTTCTGCTGCCCATGCCATGGCTGATCAGCAGGCTGCGCCCTGTGCAGCTGTCAGTCCTGCCCTATCCCCTCTCGCCTTTTCCCTCTCCTCCTTTCCCTAGCCCACCTCTGACCTCCCTTTCTCCCTTCCCTGCTGCTCAAGAAAGGATTACATGCTCTTTCCTTCCACAAGTCTTTCCTTTTCTGCTGCCCATGCCCTGGCTGGCTGCGCCATCTACTGTGCATCAGTCCTGCCCAACTAGTAGCGATGCCAGGAGTCCCGAACGTAGCGTCCTTGCTCCCAGTAGCGATGCCAGGAGCCCCGAACGTAGCTTCCGATCGCTCTGTTCGTAGCGAGGCCAGGAGCCCCGACCGTAGCGTCCTTGCTCCTAGTAGCGATGCCAGGAGCGCCGAACGTAGCGTCCTTGCTCCGTTCGTAGCTTTCCGTATACCTGCTCTCCCCCATCCTCCATTCCTTCCCCTGTTTCCCTTCCCTGCTCCAGAAAAGGACTACATATTCTTTCCTTCCACTTTTCTGCTGCCCATGCCCTGGCTGATCAGCAGGCTGCGCCATCTACTGTGCAGCTGTCGGTCCTCCCCAATCCCCTCTCGCCTTTTCCCTATACCTGCTCTCCCTTCTCCTCCTTTCCCTCCTGTTCTTTCCTTCCACGAGCCTTCCTTTTCTGCTGCCCATGCAGCAGGCTGCGCAATCTACTCTGCACCTGTCAGTCCTGCCCAATCCCCTGTCGCTTTCTTACGTATACCTGCACTCCCCTCTCCTCCTTTCCCTTCCCCCACCTCTGACCTCCCTTTTCTCGTCCTTGCTCAAGAAGAGGACTACATGTTCTTTCCTTCCAGAAGTCCTTCCTTTTCTGCTGCCCATGCCCTGGCTGATCAGCGTGCTGCGCCATCTATTGTGCAGCTGTCAGTCCTGCCCAATCCCCTCTCGCCTTTTCTCTCTCCTTCTTTCCCTCCCCCCACCTCTGATTTCCATTTTGATTCCTCTCTTTTCTCCCTTTCTCAATCTTTCTCTTTTCCCTGCTCTGGCTGATGAACAGGCTGCACCATCTACTCTGCACCTGTCAGTCCTGCCCAATCCCGCCTCTGGCTTCTATTTTGTGCAACCTATTGTGCACAGAGTGGCAGTTCCGCCTTGTCCCCTCTCAGTCTCCTCTCTTTTCTCCCTGCACTGCTTTCCAGAAGCCCTTCCTTTTCTGCCCATGCCTTGTTCTTTTCCTCCCCTTCTCTCCTTTTCCCTTCTCTTTTTTCTCTTCCTTCTTGATTCTCTCCCCTCTTCTCTCTTCCCTCTTCTGTCTCTTTCTCTTCTCTCTTTGTTCTTTTTCTTTTGATTGCTACTGGCAGTTCCCTTTCTCTCCTTTTTTTGTTGGTTGCTTCCCTCCCCCTTTCTCTGTATCTCTCCCTTCTCTTTGTTCCATATTGTGTCCTCACGCTAGTAAATGGCACCGTTTCTAGGAAAATAGCAAAAAAACAACCAATTTCCACATAATAGATGGCTCATCTATGTCTTTGTTTAATAAAGTGCTCAATCCCAATTTTGGTTATGGGAAGGGTTGACGCAACCTATCGCTCCACATTTTTTGAGGTTTTGCTGCGCCATCTGGTTTGAATTTAGTGTAAGTAAGTGTAAATATATATATATATACAGAGTGCAGAAGACCAAGCAAGGGACAGGGAGAAAAACAGAGGACTTGCAGGCTTAGTAGATAGCGCGTTGCGTTTTTGAATTTGTCCTAAAACGAGGCAGAATAACTGGCTCACACACCTCATTTGCAGCCCTCCAGTGCCATGCACTAATTTGTTGGTCCCTGTATTAAAAAGGGCCCAAAACCAAAACGCCATCTATTAGTTGGTGCCGTATCAGTTCCATCCATTCTCCAAGTAGTGTAGAAAAAACCTTTCGAGGGGTTTGTGCGGGATATGTATAATTCAATCAAATTCCGCTTTGAGTATGGAAGTTACGCCACCATGCCCTTCCATACCCTTCACATTCTCGAGTCGATGGTCGATGCTGTTTTGCAAATTCTCTGCCCATTGAGGACCAACCGGTGAACTGCAACTTGCCACTGTTGCAGCCAGAGTTCGTCTCAAAGATCGACTTTGCGGAGGGTGAAGAGCGGCAGCTGAGACTGCAAAGACAGCAAATCAAAAGATGCAATGATTAATTTCTATGACTCATGCAGCTTGACCTGAGGTTGGCTCTAACCTTTGTTTTTACCATCAACTCGGATGGTATTCAACTTCCAAAGAAAAAAAAGGGCATTGAGCCTGGTCTACAAGTCTGTTTTTGTTGCAGTTTTTTTAGTTGCTGTGCAATCAGTGGATAGATGTGGAAGTTTCTGGTCCAAGGACAGCCACTTTGAGTCCGTGGTTCGTTGTGACAGACGAATGGCGTACTCAGATGCAGAGGAGCTGATAGAGGGAATGTCGACGCCTTCTGACGATGCGGGTGTGATGCTGAAACAGCTTGGTGCCTTGATGGCGAAGTTTGAAACAACTGCCTTTGAAAAAGGCCAGTCCTTTCCCTTTGAGCATTGGGAACCAGACATCGGCCTTGATGTGCCCGTGCCGGGATTCCTGAAGTCCCGCAGAATTGTAGATGGCCTCTCCTTCTTGGTGAACTTTTATGCAGCTCAAATTCTTGATCGCCATTCCTTGTGGCGTGAGTTTTTGTCTGTTCCAGCAGAGACCGATCTACCAGAGTTGATGCCAGCCTTCGTTTATGGCGTTGCTGATACTCAACACCATAGAGCTTTGGAGCGACTGCTGCAGCACCATCCAGACGACTGTCGCCTGACTGGTACCACTACGACAGAAGTCGTTGATGCCATGAGAGGCATCCTAGGTCCAGAGCCAAGCTGTTGCATGAACAAAAAGAGGAACAAACAGATTAAACAAGAACTGTCTTCGCAGAGCCTTTTGTTAAGATTGTTAAGAAGCTCACCTTTGCTTTCAAGAATGCTCAAGTTTTCACTGGCTTTTACTCTGAGGTCAGCCGCACTTGTCTTCGGAGCAGAGGTTTGCCTTGCAAAAGGCCTTTTTGCGGCAGATTCGGATGGGCTTACCACGCGGTTTCTATCACCTTGGCCATGGCAAGTCGCCGTGGAACAATGGAAGTGCCGATGGGCAGCTTTTTCACCGGCCAAAAATATTTCATGTCTCAGCACCGATGAATCGCTATGTGGAAACTCTTAAACAATTAGTCAAGTTCTGCTTTCAATTTGGCTTTGAGCGAAAACCTACCAAGAGCTTCACTGACCTTAACTGAGCAGCATCAAAACCCTCAAGAAAGGAATTTATATAGATGATGGTCTGCGAAAGTAAAACCCCAGGGTGCGAAAGCCTTGGGAAAGCTTCGCGAAAGTGACATTTGGATTTGTTGTTGCGAAAGCTTCTGTGGAATACATGGCTTTTTGGCAAACCCTACGCTATGCATATTGAAAGAACGAGGGTTCCGCCGCAATAGTGGCGAGAATAGACCTTTTCACGTGAGGTCCGCGAAAGTGAAAACACAGGTTGTGAAAGCCGAAGGAAGGCATTCGCAAAAGACCTGGCCAAATAGACCCCCACAGCAACCAGCTTTTCGCCACAACGCAACTTCTTGTCGCTGAGGACATGCTAGGGCAACGACTGTTGAAATGGTTCAAAGGCTGGAGACCTGGACTTTGCTCTTGGCTTCGGCCTACTCTGGAACAGATGCGGGAGACTGTGGACCGGACCAACGCACGCCTGGATTCTCATCGCTTTGCTAGCTTTGTGATGCGGCAAATTTCCCACATGCGTGAGCTGGCACCTTCATCAAAGAAAGTCAAGCGAGCGGTTGTGGGCTATGTAGGGCCCTCCATGTTTGAGGTGCCTGTGGATCTGATGAATGGATAAGCGACCCAGAATGTATTCCCAAGAAGCTTAAGAATCGACCCGGTTAGTTGCTTTGGAAGTCCCTGTGAGGTGCTCCTCCCAACCGCATCGGGATCACACTTTAGCATGACGGTTCCAACCAGTGCCATACGAAGTACAACATGTCAAGTGGAATTTGACGTGGAGCAGCAGAGTCTCAGGATCCTGCAACTCGGATTGATTCAACTGTACCTGTTGCTTCAAATTGCTCAGCATTTGTTCTCGCATTTCGTCTTTCTGGTCAACTGTCGACCCACCACAAATATGAGACAAGAACCAGGCCATACAAACACCAACCTAGTCGTCCTAGTCGACCGTTTCTCAGGAATGCGGACCCTTGGCGTGACTCCTCAACAAAGCGCTGGATGGTGCGCTCCTGGAGTACGGAGCGGGTTCACTCGCGCTCAGCATGAACGATCGATCTGTATTGCTTTATTGCGTTGAACGAAACCATGTAATCATGTAACAAAAGACAGACAAAAATAGGAAAGAAGGTCCCCTTGTCAGCTGTCTTATTAAAGGGGCCCTTACCATTTTGTTTTCTATTCTTTTTGATTCCTTCCAATGTAAAGGATATGTTTTTGTCATTCACATGTTTGCCATGTGGAATGTGCGCTTCGAGCTTCAAGCTTGAAGCCGGGTGTTTTTTTTGTTTTTTTTTTAGGAACAGAAAAAGTAACATACAAAGCTGGGTGCTATCGTTTGTTCAGTCATTCTGAAAGCATGAAGCTAACGGCTCATGCTTGGAGGTTTTCCAGAACTGTGCCAGCTGTTGTTTCGAAGTCACTGGCAATTTTGAAGCACGACTGAACTGACCTGACGATAAGCAATGGGACTCATGGCACTCTACTCTTCCAACAAAGCGGATTGCTTTGGTCTGAGCACATCCCATCATCCAGTGAAGTGGACACTCTTGAAGGCCTCTGGACCCTCTGGACCGTTTGGACCGTCTGTGCGTCTCAGGAGGTTAGCTGCACCATCTCCAGGAATTTTGCTCAACCGATCAAGCACCATGCTTCGGCAAACGCGATGATCATCTCAGATATCTCCTTCAGTACACCTTCAGGTACGGGCCCCACTTGAGGGTGTAAGCAAAGTCTTTTGGACTACCGGCGGAGCACCAAGATGGCTTGCTGTTGCAGAACTTCATAGTGGAGAAAAAGTTTCTTTTGACGTGATTCTGTTCAATTCTTGAGACTCTTCGTTCTTCCTTGTCAGTGCTGTTTTGAGCTTGTAAGCCGGTTCGTTGTGGTGCAGTAGACTGAAGGTTCCAAGATTCTGTCAAGCCTGCAAGGACCTGTTTCTTTGAACATTGGGCACCGGATGTATCCTGAAGTCTTCTCGGACTTTCCTGACCTCAAGCAGGTCTACCTCATGGTGCCTTGCCACCAAGTTGGTGTAGTGAGTGTAGTGTCCTGTACAGACCTGAACGTGATATTATATAACCCTTCCAAAGTCAGAAGATATACATTCCCAAGTTGCTTGGAGCACTTTTGCACTAAGTGTCCCGTGCTTAATTGCTTTACTTCGAGCCCGGCCCCACCCGACCAATTTGTCCTGAGGTTATACGACAAAGACTTGGGGGTTGTTAGTGCTATCACGGCGTTTTTCTGTTGCTGCTGGGTGGTCCCATGCGTTTGTCGTTAGTCTCCTTGCAAGTATAGTTGTTGGGTTGTGGTCGTGGTGGCAGCATGCACTTTGCACCAGCAGATGTCAAGAACATTTGCTCCAGATCTAGCTGCCCAATCCCGTTGGGCGGGCAATTATGCAACATGGAGTTCTGGAAGAGTGTGGATCAGGGCATTTGGGTTTCCATTTGTGTCCAGCTTTGAGGAACAAGACCTCAGGGTCTATGCAGACACCTGGTATCGCATTTGGCGCTGCCGCACCCATGCAGCGGCATCGGAAGCTTCTGCCTACACTCAGCCACTGGGATTGCTTTAGTTTGTGGTGTTTGGGGATGCCAGCCTGGTTGCAGGCAGTTTAAGGATTTTAGTGACCTTCAGCTTTTGGCAAATAGGCCTGCGGTTAAGCCACTGTCTCAATTTCAATATGATGCCGGCACCCTAGTAAACTCTCAAGAGCAAACTGAGTAAAACAATCGCATCCCTAAGAAATGAAGACAAGGGCCTCAACCATCTCCAGACTATAGAGGTTAGCCAAACAACAGAGAAAGGGCTGAACTCTGGAGTTAACCTGAAAATGAACAGGTATATAAAGAGACTGAACTGTAAAGGTTCAACCTTGAACTCTGAGACTCAGTCCTTTCTTCTATTTATGCAGCTCATGTCAGGGGCACGCGCATTCCATCGATGATTGCTGGAAGTGCTTTGAAGAAACAATCTAGGAAATGCTCAGCAATTTTGGTGTGCAAAGGACATCAGTCTTTGGTAGCAGTGCAAGTCAACAGGCTCTTCCTTTCCTGAGTTTGCTAGTTACGAGGCTTGTGTTCTGGCGCAGCTTTTGCTCAACTACACTCGGCGCCGGAAGTAGCTTCAGAAAGATAACCTGTAGCAGTTGTCCCCTGAGCCACATACTTTTTGTTTTGCAACTGCCGAAGACAAGTTTTGGGAGCCCCACCACCTTTGTATTTGAAGGGGCTTTTGAGAAACAAATGCCTAGCTTTTAGCTCAGGTGGAGACGACCAGTCCGACTTCAATTTGATCACGAGAAAGGACGTTTTACCTGCGCCTCAGAAGAGTTTAGTTTGGTGCTTGTATTGTGATAAACTGCCGCCAATTCAACTTCCTGTTCAATGCTTTATAGCATTTGCTTCTCTCTCTCTCTCTCTCTGTCCTTCAGTGTATTCCTTGGACATGTCGCCGGCAATTTGACAAGAGCGTCGAGGACAGTCAGGTTCCTACCAGTCTCTACAAATCGCTTGCTCAGGCAATATACTTCTTCAACAGTCCGAGTCCGAAAACACTCGACCTGAAGCAGGATGTGGTGCATAGAAGGGTGGAAGATCGCCCAGTCCTTGCTGGTGTCACTATGTATAAGCAGTGACAAGTCATTATTTCCAAAAAAGGCCTTGGGATTAAAAAACAACGATGTGAATTTGCACGTTGCGCTTCATCATGATATTGAGTGGTATGTATGCAACAATGTATGCCTTCTTTTTTCAAACCAGGAGATCTGGTGATTCTGCGTGCCACGGAGGACGGTCGGGAGGCGGACTCCTCGCATAGTCGCAGAGAGCGATTTCCTGTTGCCATCCTTCAAAATAGCAGCAGTTTCCTCAGGCCTTTCTCTATGGGGAGCTCGACAAATGCAAGCCTGCGCAGACGCAGTACAAGCAGCTCATAGTTGATTTCGTTTTAAGTTTTGTAGTTTTATATAAGTTTTCGGGTGTGACATGTTATATATTTAGTTTGGTTTGGGTGTGAGGTTGTCCAATTTTAGACATCCAAGGACCAAGATGTGCCGGAACCCAAATTGTCGGCGGCAGAACTGTGACTTCCTGCACCCGGGAGAGGAACATGAAGGAGTGATTGCGGTCAGTAGCTTGCATCTGTACTCTTTCCTTTGGACATTTTTGCCGTGCAAACGCATGAGGAGCCTTAATTCTGTCAAAGTGACGGTGAGTAAAAAGTCACGGTGAGTGTTGAAACGCTGGAGGAGACTTGTACATGTGGGAGGTAGAGCTCTCACAAGTAAGCCGCGTTGCACTACAGGAGAAGGGTGGAGTTATAAGCAACAATGCCAATTATCGGTGATTGTGGCTGTCTTAGTCCGTGTTAGTCATGAGATCGTGATACCATGCTATTGAGGGTGCATGAAAAAGGCAGAATGCTGGTATAGGTGTTGTAGTTCCCTGTGCTGGCACCAGCATTCGCTCTACTCATTAAGTCCGTCCATTCTTTCTGAGAACGTGTTTGGTAGGTTCCACCTTGCGTTTGGAGGAGCAAAGGAGGCTTTTGGAGAGCCTCAATGCCAGCCGCGGTGGTGCAGCTTTCCAAATCCAGCTTGTGGGAGTTCCTGTTGTAGATCGCCAGAACTTGAACTTGGCAACTGGTCTCAACTTGTCAGCTTGGTACTGCGGCCTTTTTTTTACTTGGTCCTGTAAGGTGACAATTCAACGAGAGTTCTGGCTTCCGTACAGTGGGCTACAACTTTTGGGGGAGTTGTATCAAGCAGGGGCATTGCAAGCTCATTCAGAGTCAACACAAGCATCTCCAAAGGGCCTCTGAAATTGTAGCTTCTTAGGTGAAGCAGCTGCCAGCAAAGCTTGATACTCGACAGGGACGAGAGTCTCCAGTGGCAGCACATCTGACCCTCGGCTTTGCAAGCAACTCCGGCAATTTGGTGGATTCTGGAGTGTAGCAGTGTAGCGGCAGATAAGTGCAAACCTGTCCCAGGTCTTTGCTTCTGTGTCATTTTGCATTCCAAGACAGTCCAGTCCAGAAACAGCCTGGGCCTAACCACCCAGACCCATCCCTGCATTCTGCACTTCTTCAGTTTCTTGAACCAGGTCGTGGGAACTTGTCCCCGCATGTTTGTATAATTTTTCCCAGATAACTGCAGGCTATAGGGGTTCCAATTCCCCAGATAGCTGCAGGCTGTAGGGGTTCTAACTTCTCAATGGCGCGGCTCTGGATCGGCGTTTTGGTTTTGCGGGTGCTGCTGCCGGGCTGATGCTGGTGCAGGTGCAGGTGCTGGCCGTGGATCGGCGTTTTGGTTTTGCGGGTGCTGCTGCCGTGCTGATGCTGGTGCAGGTGCAGGTGCTGGCTGTAGATCGGCGTTTTGGTGTTGCGGGTGCTGCTGCCGTGCTGATGCTGGTGCAGGTCCAGGGATGACATCATGTCATGCCCAGACTGACATCATGTCATGCGAGGGATGACATCATGTCATGTCAGGGATGACATGATGTCATGCCAGTCTTTGAAGTTTTCAAAGGCAGGGATGTATGTCGCCTGCACTCTCTGATGTTTTGTTGGTTGGCCTCTCTCTTTCTATGGACCACTTTCTGGTGGAGGCTTCTTGTTGGAAACCTGTTCGCTGTGGCCTGGATTTGGTGTGAGGATTTCTTTTTTTGGAAAGGCCCTGATGAGAGAGTTCCCTTTGGGTCTTCTGTTTGTGGTCTCTTGAGGTAGTCCACACCATTCACTATTTTGGGGGGAGCCCTGGGCCTGTGAGGGTGAAGCTCCCCGCTTGTGCACTGTGGGAGCAGTTCTGGTTGGGGAAGATCTTGACCCCAGAGTCTGTTGTGGTGAGAAGGTTCCTGAAGAAGCTGCGCAAGCATGGCAAACTAAAGGTGCCAGCCAGTGAACTTTTCAGGCGGAAATCTTGCCCTATTTGGTTGCATTGAGAGCTTGGGCCGATGTTTTGTGTGGATCCCAACTGTTGGTTTTCATAGATAACAATAATTCAGCAAGGCACACGTGGGTGGCAGGAAGCGCAAAGTCTGCATGCGCGTCAGCATGACCCATACAGCTCTTAAGCTAGAAGCAGAGCTAGACGTGTTGCTATACTTTTGTAGGGTACCCAGCTTTTCGAACATAGCAGACGGCCTTTCTAGGCTGAGTTTCCATGAGTGCGAAATGATCGGCGCAGAGCGGATACAGGTCGAGGAGCCTTTGCTCGTGAGCAGCGCTGGGATGGATGGACCGTGTAGATGGGGGTGTTTGTCCCCAGCACAGATGACCCATCCCCAGCAGATGTTCTTGAGCTGATCGATGAAATCGATCTGCTTCCTTCTGCCCCAAACGTAGCAGCCTCTGGCTGGAAAAAGATTGCGCGGTGAACTCGCGGGAACAGAGGGAGGAGTTGGTCTTGTGACTTTTGGTTTATCTCCAAGTATTTCGTCTTATAGTGCAGGCGCTCGACAAGAATAATCTTCAATAAATCATGTCATGCCAGGGGTGACAAATGTACACACCCGCTATCTGTGGCCTATGCCGGTGTAATTCTTGGGCTTGGCTTGTCGATCTTGTTTGCTCACTCAAGGACTAGCTTGCAAACACCGACCCAAAGCCTTGAACAAAGAGATATGCGACCGCTGGCCAGCATACAGCAAGTTGAAGAAGCGGTGGGAGGCAGCCGGCTTGCACTAACAGCGTCCCCAAGTGGAAAATCAGTTTCAGTGGTCGGGTGGTTTTCTGCATCATATTCTAGATCTTTGCACAGTGGCGACATGCACTTCATACTCATAGCATAGGGAGTGCACCCTGGACTACATGAGACAGGGTGCAGGGTGTGCTCATACTGCTTGCATGCAAACAATCTTGCAGTTCTGCCTCTTGGAGAATCATTCCCTCAACGTCTAGAAACCGTTCTGATCATGCGAAAAATTGTTTAAGGAAACCTCTCCCACCTTCAGGTGGAAAAAGCAGGAGAAACTTCCTTTTGGTTTCTGGAACAACAGTCGCCCTTTCCACAAGTACCTTTTTGTAATTCGTGTGCTAGCTCCCAAAGGAAAGGAAACATTTGTTCTTTTTCATCACAAAATGTTTCCGAGGTGGTGGGCCATACAGCGTCACTGCCTCACCACTCAACAAGCTTCAACTGGATGCTGTGAAGCAAGGCCTCCAGCGCAGGTTTTCCGTGGTGCAAGGGCCGCCCGGTACAGGCAGGAAGAGTGCGAGCGGGTGTTTCATCTGAAGTCAGAGTTCTGACGGAAGAACAGGATGCTACCCGAAGGTTTGCATTTCAGTGAACTGATTGGCGAGGCATGACCACCAAAGTATGCTGGAATCAGTTGGAATACCAAGGGTAAACGACGGCTGAGATGATGCGGCGAAGCCAGGCAAAACCACATTCTTGGTTCACTTGGTGACTGCGCTCACCAACCTGGAGCTTGATCCGACCTTGCGCAGGAAAAGTATCTTGACACGCTGAATAACCACAAACTGAGTGTTGTAAGAGTCGGGAAGAGAGTACTGAAGGGCCACTATCTCAAAGTTCCATCATTTCAGGTGCATTGAAACAAGGCCACGCAGTTGGCCCTATTTGTCCCTGGTGGCGTGATCAATGATTTTTATATGTATTCCCATATTAATTTATTTACTGTATGCAGGATCTGAGAACGGCATGGCATGGCCCTTTGGGCTTCAAGACGTTTTTTTGCAGGACTGGAGGGCAACCCTCCAGAACGGCGGCTGAAGATGCTTGGTGAGCACAAATTCTTTCGCAAGTGTAGTGAGCGTTCGGATTCATTGTATTCCGCTGTGTTTGCTCATAGGTTTCACTTTTATTCTGGGGATTTAGGCAGTTTTGATAGAATCTGATAGAGCACACTTGAGCTGGGTGTAGTTGGCGCAGAAGCTACGACGATAAAGCTGTAAAGCAACTGGAACTATTTTTCCTGGGTTTGAGGTAGATCTGTTTGCCACGCGTTGTATGACCATTGAGTTTCAGCTGGTGTAAAAGTTGTTGACTGGCGAAACTAAACTTGTTGCTTTGTATACATAGTCAGTTGCAGAGGAGTCAAGCATTTGAGCCATCTGACGGACCCCTCACAAATCTCCAGCCACTTGGGTAAGACAATTGGTGTGTTAGAGTAGGGCGGCTGCATTTAATCGTCCCAAAATTAAGACTCAAGAGTGGACTTCTTTAGCGCCGCTTCGCTGCTGCTGCTGTTGCTGCTCCTGCTGCTTTTGCTGCTACTGTTGGTGCTGGTGTGCTGCTGGTTAGCCGCTGGTTTCCTTGCTACCTTTCGTTCACCCCTGCTCACTCAAGCTCTTCCATCCCCTATTCACTTCAAAGATCGTGGCTTTCCCTGAGTGAACAATGATTGGAACATGACAAGAGCGAAGAACTCTGCAGCCCAGGAGACATTTGGCCGTATCCTCGTGACCACGCCTTCAAACCAAGCAGCTGACGAATGCCTTCGGAGGCTCACGAAGGTGCCATGCCAGTTTTCTGCAGCCACAGTACCTTTCATGGTTAATCTCAAAATCTGCAAGGTGCAAAGTGGCCAACTCAGCCTCATGAGTCCAATGACGTTTGAACAAATCATTTTCGCACTAGTAACAAGGACGCTATTAGGGGCTCCTGGCATCGCTACTAGGAGAACAAGGACGCTATTAGGTGGAGGCCATCACAAGAATCCATGGTGTCACCCCACAAAAGACTGTTCAGAATGTTTGGTTTCATGTGACCCATGACCCACGGCTGACCTTCGGTTTCGATTTGGGCATGGTCATTCAGCCTGGTTTTGGGGAATCCAGCAGAATGCCAGGAGAGCAACATTCCTCCTCAGTTCATCACTCGGGTCTATGCCCGGACCATTGAGTACCAATACGGCAGCAAGTTGCGTTGTGGCGGGGGTGCTTATGAGACCTGGAAGCATTGATTCCCTTATAAACAGCACTCGACGCATTTGGATGGACTCAAAACCTCAACGTGCTTCATTCCTGCTTTTGATGTCTTCAGCGAGGATTCCAACTTGCTTCGAACGCAGCACAAGGTGCACAGCCCGGGCTTCACTGGTTTGGATATGAGTTGAAGCAAAGTATTCCAAAATTGGCACTGTCAGTGGAAAGCAGCACCCTTCAAAAATGCTTACACAGTCACCTGACCCACTGTCTTTAATAAACAAACTATAATATACCAGTTTCCGCGCGGAACAGATCCAGTCCATGCTAAATTTCCACATTCTGTCTTGCAATGTCCTTCATACCCAGAAGCGTAACTGTTCGATTTCTACATTTCACTCTGAACGTCAACGTGGAAAAGGCAGAGTGTGCAGCATGCGATTGGGTCCACGTGGTAAGGGTATTGCGATCTAGTATGGAAGCCAGTCCTTGGTAAGACCGAATGTTGTATGTCAAATGCGCAGGTTTGACTCGCCTTGTCTTACTCCACTTGAATCTAATGCTGTTCACTGTAAGCAGTTGCTACGTTTGAGGTGAAGGATTCCTTGAAGGAGCACTCCCTCCACCACAAGGTCATGCAAGCCAAGGACATTCATTCTTGGTGTTGGACCACCAGAATTCAACAAACATCACCAGAATTCAATCTCCAAGCTATATAAACTATACTAAACTACTGGTGCTGGTGTTGTGGTGGCTCCTGATCGTCTTTCTGCGCTTAACACGCAGGAAGTTCGGAGACTAGCGGAGAGGTTGGAACACGAGCGTGGTGCACAATCACAATGGAACTACGATCAGGTGGATGAGCGACTCGGGAGACTCGGGGAGACTCGGGAGACGAGGTTCTGAGAGTCACAACGTGGACACATTCCTAGTAGCGTGGCACTTGTTTCTACTAGCTTCTTGTTACTACTAGTAAGGCACCCGTTCCTAGTAGCGTGGCACTTGTTTCTACTAGCTTCTTGTTACTACTAGTAAGGCACCTGTTCCTAGTAGCGTGGCACTTGTTTCTACTAGCTTATTGTTACTACTAGTAAGGCACCTGTTCCTAGTAGCGTGGCACTTGTTTCTACTAGCTTCCTTGTTTGTACATGCCCTACATTGTCAGCTCCTTTCAGGGCTATGAAGCGACAGAGCAAAAGGTTCTGAAGGAGAGCAAAATCGTGCGACTTGCCCAGATTACTGTCACCCAAGACCTGGAATATCCTGGGCTCATGCTTCAAGAGCCAGGAGTAGTACGGGGTGCCAGTTCTGGATTCGATCCAACCACTTTTGCCTTCAAGTATTGCTGCTTGTATTGTCACATTTGGACACTGCCTTAAGCTGTGCTGTATGGCTTGTCGGCTTCAGAACTTCAGGTCTTTCTCTAAGTCGTGCGAGCTTGACCTTATCAACTTTCTGAGAATTACAACTTGCACTTCTGCTTTGTCTCACGGTGCACTCAAAGAGCCGAAAGAAGACCAGCACACAAAGGACGCCACAAAGACAGGCACTGCTGCACGTCGCCCAGGCACCTAGAAAGCAAGCTTGTCAAATTCAAGCGCAAAACAATTTGACGATATTGCTATTATTGCTGCAGTCACTGCTTTACCAAGGCCCATCGCGAGCCATCCGATTCCGCTCAGTGGTGGTGGATGAATGTGCACAGGCGACAGAGCCCGAGGTGGTGCTTTCAGTGATGCGATCCTTGCCAGACAGAGATGCCAGGTGAAGATCAACATAGGATGGATTCGGACTTGTAAATTTCTTCGGAAGATCAACATAGGCACCATATTGCACCTCAGAAAAGACCACATCAAACTACACCCGCGACCTTGAGAGCATCACAGATTGAATGATTGCGGGTACAGCACGTCACTGAGCTTTGTTTTCTTGTATAGCCATGTTGGTACACATATCAAGATGCCTGATTCAGTTGTGGGTTTGTATGGATCTTAATATGTATTTTTGTATACACACCTCTGCTTGACGATGCAATGGGTTGCAATGGGAGTGCACTTATTCTAGCGATTGTTGGCAATGCTGCACTGTTGAGTTTTGGTAGCCTGCTGCAGTTGCATCACGCTACGTTGTGCTCCAAGCGGGAACACGGAGGTGCCAATACCCATGTCAATAAGGTGCTGAAGAGCGAGCTATTCTTGTTGGAGACCACAAACAGCTTGGGCCTGTGGTGACTGAGATTCTCTATCAAGACTGGAGCTATTTTTGTATCTAAGGTTGAATGGTGTGTCATGTGTAATTTTATATTGCAGTACCTTTTCCAATACAGCTTTCTGGACAGGCATGGGAAAGGAATGAACCAGAAGATGTCATGTGTCACGTCGCAGTGATTGCCCAAACTGACAATTGAACTGAAGGTGACTGAGCACAACCTTTGCAGGGCATATTTGTCCATGTTGGAAAGGCAGGGTTGTTCAAACCGGAAGGAGACAACATGGCTTGACCCTGCAGCCAAGATATACACATTTCTCATTGGTTGATTCAGCAGGTGTGGCTTCTACGGCTGCTAACCGCTTTGTTTGTAGCGGAAACCACATGGAACAAATCCGACTCAGCTTGTGCGGCTGCAAGGCCTATCCTTGAGCGACTGGCTGAAAGGAAGGACAAGACAAAATTGTGTAGTGTCATGTTTCAGAAGCAGCACCTTGGCATCTATAGACCTACAGACATTGAGAGTAATCTTGAAAGCTGCCCAAATTTGGAATACTCGGAATACTCTCTGCAGGTATCGAATGCACGATGCCATTTGTGCCTTTCCTTCCCAGCATTTCTATGGCAATTTGCTCCAGAACGTGCAGAATCTGCAGCACCTCCCGGCCCCGGCAACAGTCTGGCCACAGCCAGACCAACCGGTGGTATGGATCGACTGTGACACTCCCCACCAGATGGGTACTGTGATTCAAGTGGGCAATGCCAGAGCCTTGCCGTGCGCAGTCAGGTGCAGACCCTTCATATTCTTGCCTAAAGCGAAGATGTTAGCAGTCGGAAGCTGCGGATGTTGAAATGTAGTAGAAACTTGTGGTGGCAAGAGAACCCCACATTTGTCGGTGTCACGGGGTGGTTTCTGAACCGCGTCTTTGGAATGGTTGAACTTCCATTGTTGGGGAAATTGCTGGTTCGGTTTGGGAGCCACCTGGCTACTAAGGAAGCCTAAACAGCGTTCCGCTGGAAAACAACACCTCCTTGCAAAATCCTGGAGAAGCAGATCTCATTGTAGACCCTTTGGCAAATAATATCATTCCAGCTTTACTTCAAGCTCAACCCTTACTTTCTCATGACTTTTCCAGCAACTCAACCAGGAAGCCTACAAGAGGTTGATGAAAGACGGCACCTGCCAAGCTGGAGATGTGGCGATCATCACGCCCTACAAAGCCCAGCAACAGTACATTGAGCGGAACCTTTGCTTCCAGGATTTCGTTTTCAATCTTTTCCCAGTTCCGATGGGTGAAATCAGACTCCCTGTCTGAATCATATCATAATTTGTGATTAAAGACCAGTTTTTCTACCTGTCGGAGGCTGAGTTGACAGACAGTTTTGGCTCTGCAATTGACCACGTCTTTAGCCGAGGAAATTGAAAGAACTCCCAGGCGGCCTAGGGAAAAGGGCCAACGAGACCTCCGTGGGAACAGTCTTCAGCATGCAACTTGCTGGCAGATGCCCACCCATTTGTGTTTTGATAGAGTCATTGACATGGAAATCCTAAGATCGGACAAACATGCCATGCAAAAGTAATGGCGGCCAAAAATGCCATAGGCCATAGGAGTAATGCCAAGTCCGCTCCACAACTTCGCTTTTGGAATTGCAACATACATCCCCGAGTGACCAGGCAAGGCTCTGAGCGACACTTCATTCTCCTTAGCTTCGTCCGGAGCATTGCAGAAGGTGGGGTTTCTGTGGCTTTTGGAGGGCACACTTGGGTGTGGGAACAGAGTTGGGTTTGGCCTTGGTATATAAGTTAAGTACTTATAGTAGACTCAGTACGTTTCTTTATGTTCGGCTTCCTGTTTCAATATGTTCTGTGAATTGGGTGTTTGTCTTTGGACAGTGTGGCGTTAGATGATCACAAAACTGTGGCAGTCAAACATTTTGCCTACATCATATACCAGAAGCTCCGAACAAACCATCATCAAGTATCGCCAGTAGTGGACATTTTCTCATGCACGCCTCTCTGCATGATCTTGTCAAGCTAGAGAGACTAGAGGGTCGGCCTGGGACATCTTTGCCACGGGGCTTCGACTCAATCGCCTTGGATGAGGTTGGGCCCTCAAGAATCTTGCTATGCAGGGCTCAGACAAGGAGATCCGTGTGGCTTGGCTCAACTTGCTGCTGTGGTGACGACTTTCCCTACTGTAGCAATTTTTGTTGTCATGCGCATCGCCAGTTCGGGACACATTTTGCCTGTTGCTTACTGCTCAGGTGGCCGTCACCTCACACAACCCGGCTCTTCGACAGACCTTTGAGTCGCACATTGGAATCGCAGCAAAGGCGGTCAATTCCGAGAGGGACTGGTGGAGAAAACCAAACATCCACGTTCAAATCATGAATTGGAGGCTTTTTGTGGATATGTAAGTCTTCCACGATCAATCTTTGACAATAAAATTTGACACTCAATGTGGTTGCGCAATCAGCCCTGGAGGCAAATTTGCTCAATGTCGCTTTGACCCGCGCGTGCTTTGGTTTATTTCCGTGTCAGTTACTCTGCATATTGCATTCTTTCACATCAGGTTTCACAAAGAATGAAACACATGGACAGGATGTTTTGAATCGGATGCGCCGTGCGTGGCACTGGGCTCACTTATATATATATATACATACAGTATATATATATATTTATTTATTTTCCAGCAATGACACATGGTTTTGTTAGCAAGAATCGGCGGATAGAGTGAATTGCAGATTTATCATATTCTTCCTGACGTTTTGAGCATGGCAAGCGTATCACTAAAGAGTAGTCCACCAAACTGCAAAACAGCTTCCAGAAGCACAGGCTTGCTCAGGCTTTTCTTCTCAATTCTTTCTCTCGCTTTGTTTCCGCTTTTGAGTTCTTTATCCAGTCCTGAAGTTCAAAGCTGGTGGTGTGACTGTTTCGTTGCACGTTTTTACACTTCGCAAAGCAATCCTTGTTGTTCTCAGGAAGAGCGGTCTTGTGATTGTCGGCAATCGAACTGTCCTAAGTGAGGGTTCAGAGGACTTTTTCCAGCTTGCCTCGAATCTTTCTGAGCGAGGCAGTGTAGTGCCCGCCGCGCAATTCAGAGCATCCTCCTTTAGATTCGCAAAGGCGTCTTAAAGTTATTCTCAGCCCATCAACATGTAGTGTTTGATGCCTCTGGGTGTGCTTTGACTTGGCCAGCTGGTCAGGAAGCTCTACAGTTGACTTGCTACTCCTAATTACGTGAATACTTCTTCTCAGGGTTGCCTGAAGTCATGGCATTATCCCGGAAAAGTGCAAGGCAGCCTTGCTCCAAAGTGCAGAAAGAGTGCGAGGCTGTCCAATCGATCATGAAAAAAGGGTGGCTCTTTCGACAAGCCTGGAGCAAAACTGTGTCAACCAGAACATTAATGGTGCCATGAAGAAATGCCTTTTGCATATCAGTGGCCTTGGCTAGAGAGGTTGCTTTTTCAGCATGCATGCAGCAGCTTGACTTGGTCAAACGAGAACAGGAACATGAAACCTTGCCAGCCACCAACATACACAATCTTTGCCAATACAATGAAGCTGCTAGATTGGTTTGAGCAGTTCCATCTCGACATCTGCACACCCAACAAATGCTGCATGTCACTTGCCAACTGTGACAAACTAACATGTTTTTTCTCCAAGAGTGATCTCTTGAACCTTGCAGAAAGCTGGTTGATGTTGTAGAAGCTGAGAGGAACTTGAAGTCCCAGCATCGATTGGGCATGGGCCCACGACACCGACCGGGCATCGTGAAGTCCACGTCACACAAGACTCGTTACTTCGTGGTTCATCCACCTTTGATCGTGCTGAGCTGATGGCGGAGTCTGTGATATTGGAGTCGGCGATGGCTCCCAGCCGCGGACTTGATTGAGCTGCCAGTGGGAGTTGTTGGTGGAAGGAAAGGGGTCTTTCAGAGCTCCTAAATATAAAGCCAATCAATCCTAATCAGTAATCAGCTATTTCTGCTGTGTGCTGCCTTAAGCAGTTTCATTTTCAGAACTCTGTTGACTGTTGACAAATTGGTTTCTTGTGTTTGCTTTTACTGAAAGCACTTTCAGTTCTCATACCAAATCGCAACACCAAAAAAGACCAGAAAGGGAGTCAAAAGCTCATCAAGATTGAAGTTGACACGTGTGGATGTGCCGTTATGTCTTATCGTTTTTTGTTTGAATGAGCTATGCCACGACTATAGGTCAAACTTGTAGGAACAGAGATGGAGCAGGATGTGCAGGGTACTTGCTGAAACGGTATGGCACAAATATGGTCCTTATACGCTGTCCCGGAATATAGTTCAACAAACTTGACATGCCTGCTTTTAACATTGTCAATCTCCTCTTTAGAGTTCGACCCAGAAATCCTGTTGTCGTTCAGTGACAACATGACAAAGGTGAAGCACTGCGGCAGCTGGTGCAGCTGGGCTCTGCCCCAGAGGCGCAAAGGTCCCATGGATCTGAATAGAGATGAGGTGATACGCGGTGATACGTGGTGATGCTTGTATCGACAAGTGACGACAGTCTGTCTAGGTATCAGATTTCGAGACTCCGTGTCAATATCTCCTTGGTGCAGCCCTGGAGAGGCAGATGTTGTGGCCGCAGTGGACAACCTGGACAAAAAGATCCCGAGTTCGGTTGGGGTGCCGAGAGTACATGAGAAGTTGCGACAGCAAAGTACAACCGGTTTGTAGGTGTGGACAGTCTTGAGACACCGAAAGATATCATAGGTCTGGAACTCAATAACCCATTGCATGGGGTCGTAGGTCTTTGCAAATTTCATTGCATGAGTTATGTCTTGGAGATGTGCTATTGTCGCCTAGACCACCCTTTCCTTTTTGACCGGAGCACATCAGATCTTGAGGAGTGGCTTTGGGCGGCCGTGGCACAATTTTTGGGCTTGGTGGACGGCGCGGACTTCTTGCAGCCCGCTGCGGAGTGCCCAGCCAACTTGTTTGCACTAGATCATTATATACACATATACAACAAAAACACAGACATTACAGACGCCAGCAACTCTTTTGTAGCATCAGGCGCCACAGGGTCTATCATGCCGTTTGAATTGTACTGGCTCAACCGAAAGGAGATTCGATGGAGACGGACCCTTCACGACTCTCAGGAGTGTGCGATGCTATGGGGCTTTAGGAGTCTCTATGGCTTGCAGGACTGCCAAATGCGATTCCGTCATGTGGTGCGATTCACGTTGGGTCCTTGCTTGGAGGATCAATGCTTCTTGACTAGACTGGGTCGGTCACAACGTATACCTTCTGAGTGTCTTCAGGAGCCAGGGACGAGTCCATGGGACTTGTCGCAACTAGCACGGCAGCATCAACTACTAGAGGCGCAAGCTCTAAATGTATGCAACAATTTGGCTGCATGCCGCATACCTTACCCAAAAATGAGAAGGACGTCTTTTTGTAGGGTTTGCCTTTGGCAGCACAAAGTGCCAGCAGACCTGTAGAGATGTTCTCCTTTCACTACGTTTCACTGTGACAACTCTTGCACCATTCAGGGCGTCGCTGCATATGCAGTGGCGTCGGATCGGGGTAGCTCTTTAGGGCGCTTGGCCTGGGGATGCTTGGCTGACATGGAGTCCAGTCGACGTTTGGAAAAACGAGATGTTGCTCCAACGAAGCGGCCTACGAATCGGTCTTGATCAGGAGGTGTATTGAGGAAGTTGTGATCGTTAAGTTTCCCTAAGAATCTAGGAACCAAATCATTAGTGCGAGCGTGAGCTATCCTGCGTCCATATACTTAATCAAGCAGGGCCTGGCAGGGCTAAGGGCCTAAAAAAGGTCTTCTTCATTTCCGGGCGCCGGGAGCTGTGAGGAGAGGAGCGGCTGAATGGTGTCATTTCGGGACAACACCGTGGACGGCTTCTGCCACCGGAGCCGAGTGGGCGGAGGGGAACCAGCGCTTCGGAGCTTCTAATTCTTGTTTCTACTAGCTTCTTGTTACTAGTAGTAAGGCACTTGTTACTACTAGTAAGGCACTTGTTACTAGTAGCTCTCATAGATGAGAGTGTCAGGATTTCGGTGGTTGGAGGTGTTTGGGATTCTGTTGGAAAGGACTGGGAGCTTTGCTGATTGCCTGCTTGGGCAGCTATCGAAGAAGGGTGAAAGTTAGATCCAAAGTAGGCAGTTGATTTGCAAGTTGATAACAACCTGTTGCAATGCCATGTTGTTTTCCCATTAAGATTCCAGGAGCGGCTGAACTGCCTTGAATCCCTGGAGGTGGCCATGGTGGTGGTGAGCAATGCGGCACAGGAGACTCTGAAGTTCTCGACAAAAATGCCGGCCAGACCGACACCAAAAGCCAGGAACTCTTCATTTTGTTCCGATTTTGAAAGCGAAAAAGATGATTTTATGAACAAAACACAAGGAAGGGGCAGCGAGATTTAGCAAAGAGCGCCACAGGACAAGATGCGTTTGATGCCTTTTGCAGCCACAAACCCTAAACCGCTTAGTCAGAGTAGCCAAGCCGATCATTTAAGAAAAGAAAGAAAAGAGCTCATGAGATTAGATGATGAGATGTGGAGTTCCGACAAAGTGAGCCACACCAGTGCGTTGTGCCAACTTTCAATCTTTTTGTTGTGGATGCTTTGTGTCCTGTCGGGAGGAGCACAGCTCTGTTCCACAGCCGGTTGACTTGGACTACTTTGTACAGGCAATTTCCGCTGAGAAAGGAGCTACGATCCTCCATAGTCCCACAAGAAAACCTACAGCCTTACAGACTGTGCCTTACAGGGCCTTAGAGGGCTCATGGGATACACCATATCTCTCCGTATCTGTGATTTGACGCTTCACCTATGCAGGCACGCCATGAGGAGCGTCAAAGCTACGCTCTGGCGTCACAGCTGGCCAGCGACGGCCATGCTGAGGGCATTGCTGCCAAAGCAGAGATGCCGCTCGACAGATTGAAACATGGCCGGTGTTTGCTACTAGTTCTCCTGGAAATGCCGACAGGGGTACCATTTTTGTATGGAGATCTGTTGATGATGACACCCACCAAGATGGAGAAACCAACAAGGCGCTCTATTGAGGATCATTTGCATGATCAATGAAGCCAATCCCTCCGTGTACTCAGGCTCTACTACGGCAAAAGTGCAGTGGTTCCCGGTGGATCCACTGGAAGGGGCTGGATCGTGTGGGCACCCAGAAGATGCATTCACCAGTCAGTGTTTGTGGTCCTTTTTTTTTTTTTCGTTGCATTGTTGATGTCCAGCAGCTTTGTGAAGACAAGTCAAGAGACCAGCAGAATGTGGACTATTGGAGTGGCTTCTTCATGGCTGAAGGTCTTTCCTCTCCTGGTCCTAGCTGCATGGGTTCTGCCTAAGCTCTTGGGTGGGAGAGAGGCTCCGCTGAAGTGTGCTGTATCCTAGATACACCTGTCACAAACAGAGGCAAATCATGACGAATCCAGGGGTTTCCATGACCAAAAGAGGTTGCATGCGGCATGCGGCCACATACTTCAAGTGTAGACGTGCCTTTGGGCATGAAATGTGGTGCCAGGTGGGTGCAGGCTCACCACCAACCCGGCTTCGGATTGGTGGTTGCTTGCGAGCAATGCTGCTTCTTGAGCAGCAATCAGCGGCACAACGAAGTCCCCAGGAACGTTGTGGAAATGTCTGCTTCGCTCAACTGTTGCACTTGACGCATATATGATCATATATGCATTGACCAGTGTGTACAGGTTCCTGTAGGTCTTATAGGGGCGGGCACCTTGGCCTTGAGGCTTCTTGCCGCTTTTGGGTTTTGGTGGTCTTGGCGGAGTCTATGCCTGAGCTTTCCAGACGCGGGGCCCAATGAGTCTAAAGGCCAAGTCAACGTGCGAACTCCTTTGGCATCAAGTTGGTAAAAGCCTGCATCCAAGACTTCTTGAGGTGCCCGACCTGGAGATTTAGCAGCAGACACAGCGCAGGTGCATAGGGTGAATGGGGCTAGCAAGAGGCCATATTAGGTGTTCACGGTGTGGAATGCGCAAGACTGCGCTACTGTAGGGTCAGAAGGAGCGGCTGAATTCAGATGTGTTCGGCAAACGAGGCACAGGAGCTTTTTCAAGAAGCTGCGGATGCCGGACATTGGGGTGCTGCCTATGCCTACGCTTTGCTGAAATTGGAAGAGAATGAGAGTCACGTGGCGAGCTTGGCCGATATTCTCGGGGGACAAGTGATAA